GAACAAAGACGAAAAGAACATCGTAGATGAGCCTCTTTACCAAGAGCAACTACGGCCGAAAAGAAGAAACCTTACTTGCAGCTCCCGTTCAGAGGAGGCTCCATTTTTAATTTACTGATTTACCGGAAAAAGTAATCACGTATCCAACCGCCACTTTACGTGCGACGTTCGCAAGCCGGTCACAGCTCTGCTCAATGATAAGCTGCCTACCTTCTCCTCATCCACGATTACATTTTTGTTCACTGGTATATGTTCGTCAAGTTATGTAAGACGAACGGTGAGACAGTTTTCACAAAGCACCAGAGATCGTAAACCGGCCTGGCTGAGCACGGGATGCAAAAAAAACAATAGCCAGTGCAAATATGACTCACTTCGCTAATATCGGACATCAGATAGACACCGATGCTCTTAAGATCATCTGCGGAGTGCCCCAGAACAAGGCAAAATACGTTCGGCACAGTCACTTGGTAACGGTAGAAGCAGTAGCAATCAAAATCAAGAACCAACCAGGTGGAAAAGAAAATGGTTACCGCACTCTAGTTGTCTTGACCCAACCCCAACCTACACGACGAACCAAACCGTGACTTCAACCACGTCATGTTGCACATGAAACAAGGCCATCGATAATTTTTGGAATTAGCCTGTCCTTTCTCCACGTGCCCCTGTTGATCCTCCCGAACGCACAGTCGCCCCGACTTTAGTTCAGTATGCGCCGTTGGTTGGGACACGTTTTGCACATACCCGAAGGTCGCCTGCTGCAGCATACCATATTTGCAATGGCCGCTGCAGAGTGGAGAAAACCACATGAAGGCCAACAGATGATGTGAATACGAGTCATGAAGAAATTTGAGGAGCGATTAGCGAGAATGGGTGTCTCTCGTCTTCCGGGTTGGGGTCCAAAAGACTCCGCAACTGGATGGTCGTGGCAGCAAACCGATAGCAGTGGTGCTGCTTATCAGTCCAGAATACTTCAAGTAGTATGTATGCACAGTTGAGCTGTGTACTCTGTGTTGACCACAGAGGTTTGCTTTCTTGTCCAGTCCTTAGGCCCAATCCCTATCCTCCTCCTCCAGTCTCACTAACCTTGCACGCAGTATGAGTTTAGCATCAATCAATCAAGTTCACCTCGCTGTGTTATGCTGTACAATCATAATAATGATCGTTCATTCCCATTTAACTTGAGGTACCAATCACGGGTGGTGATGATGCAGTGGTTTAGTCGCTGTTTTTGGCATGATTTAAACCCTGTGATCCAAGGTTTGATCCCCACCACCCATCTTTGGTGTTAGGCAGCTTTGCTGTCGGCCCGTTTTACACCACGCCTGACATATCGGGGTCTTATGTGATTCACCACTCCAAGTTTTTTCAAATTACACACGAAGTGATTTTACAGCAAAAGAGGTAAACCCCATAATCAATGATATCCTGTAAGGGGGGAGGTATGTGGGGGAACATTCAAGCAAGAACCAATTCTGTTAATCCTGCATTTGGAAAGGTTAAGTTTATAAGTCTCGGGGCTTAGGTTGCCGGTTACCGCCAGTGAATAGCAGATCTTCATGACTATGGGATCCACCCCCTCTGTTGTTCATCACACCGATGTGTAATAAAAAAATGATAATAAACGTTTATTATAAACACACAACTGTAAATACCTGAAGAGAGCTACGAAAATGAGCTTGCTCGCTGTATTGTTTGTATTTTTATACTATGGGAATCTTCACAGAAAAACTCAATCAAACAATAGAATGCAAACTTCAAACGATGCACCTGAAGTCATTAGTTTTACAACGGACAAAAGTAATAGGTTGAGGTCGAAAAAGGTAACGAAACGGCGATTCAATAGATCAATGAGTACACAAATGATCAACGTGTACCAGCTTGTGCAGTAGTTTTCACCACTTCGTATTTAGTTATATTTTGTAGAACATATACAATTTTTTGTTCCAATTTCATTTTATTGAACGGAATAGTTGCAAAAGTTCAAGTTACAAAGTTCTCTGAACCATTCACCAGCATTAAGTTTATTGGGTATATGATTCGTCAAACTTTGGTGGTTCAATTTGACAACACTAGCTCTTGGTTCTTACTGACTGATGCTTCATTACGATCACAATTTATCTTCCTTTTATATAGGTCTGAACCGCAGCTGGTTACTTTGTCACCATTGCCGATCCCTCCAGCGGAGCTGCAAGACTACTTGGCTTGTCGTTTCAAATGTCGCACGAATGCGGATTCCAGTCAAGGCAAAATGCAACATTTGTCTACATCTCCGTCTAATTCGAGGAAGCCATCCAATAGTTCTTGTAGTCCGTTCTGTTATGCAGACTGTCACAGGCAATCAGTCCTAGAATCCACTCTCGCCGTAGCTCGAAAACACGCTCATTGGAGCGAATGTTCCACAACCAGTGCCTCGGATTCTGTGGCATCCTCCGGACCTAACTGCTCATCATCACCGGCGGAGCCTTGTCTGTCCTGTGTTCCTTTCTCAGGTCCTGATACAAAGGTATCGGCTCCCACTGTTACAGCCAGTGTGGAATGTGAATCGTCGGTCGCTCCTTTGGCAACTGTATCTCAGACGGGATTTCGTTGGACTCAGTGTCGTAGACGGCGATTGCCAAGCAGTTGGTCTACAACGACTAGCACAGCGTTTTCCATACAAGGAATGGGAAAATTGGAAAATTCAGGCATTCCTATTGGAACTGATAAGACAGGTTAATAATTTTTTTGATTTTTTCCTTGAATGTAAAATAACTAAAATGACTGAACCAGTTGATTATCTTCAAGAAAATCGAATTGAGTTGTCCTAGTTTGAAGGGCGGAAGTATCATGTTTATCTAGTGTATAAACCATGTAAATATCCGCCTATATACATCAATTTTGGTTAAATATTTATTCAAGTTTACCTGGTTTACCGAGTTAGGGACAACAATAGTGATTTCTCACCCTCGTTGTTGATGAGTTTTTCGGGTTGCACAGTGAAACTTCATTGGGCTTGACACTGATAAACCATTTCCGTGTAGCCTTTTGATTCGAAGTTGAATTTAGTCCCTAGGTTTCCTTATTATCTCCACTGGTTCAACTGAAAAACGGTCAGCAGAGTTAGCTTAAAGTAATCACTGTAAACGATGGGAATGGTAATGTTTTCGGTTATCATCAGGAGTTCGTTGGTGGTAGCCAGAAACTTTGGTAACCCAGACTACAGTGGGTTATATAATTGGTAATCGGACAGTCGTGCCTTCCGTACCACATACTCAGCGCGATCAATGCATTCACACACGCTAATCACTTATCCACCACTCACAGACTTCATACGACTCGTTGCATCCTAAAGTTGATCAATGCGTTTCTGTTCAAAAACACTGTCCATATCTTAAAATTGGATTCGGCATTCTATTGGCAGTTTTAACTACGTTAGCATTTAATGAATGGGTAAACTTTACTAGCTCCACTAATTCTGCTTTAGCCAGGTATCTCTCGACGTTACAACTCCTAATTGGTCACACTATGCCACTGTAATTTCCTGAACCGCGTTTGTCCTTCAGTGCTAATTACCATATGATCTTGAAAGGTAGATAGAAGCGGACGACGTGGTGCTGTCATCATCATATTATAGCGGAATCTAGTGTAGCGAGCATCACTGACCGCTGCCAAAATTATAATGCATACAAGTCATGTGGAAAGAAGTAAGGAGGTTAAGGATTGAGACTATTTCGCGGGACGGCGAAAGAGACGAACCTCAATGTCAACACAATCAAACTTTGCACGCTCACTGTTTCAAGCATTCTGGTCTTCTAAGAAGCGACAACAAGAACGCTATTGGTTCGGTGCCATGACTTTCAGTGGTCTGTCACTCTGGTGATCCGACTAATTGTTTAGCCGATGTCTTGTACGGAAGTCCGTGTTGAAAGTAAATCGAAAGCCAGTTCATCCTGTATCTCTGGTTCAGTCAGTATGCGTGTGGCGTCTGTTGTCACTTAATCATACTTGGTAGGCGTGCATGCTTGAGAGGACATTATGTTGACGTTTGTCGCTGATAGCTGCCATCTCAGAAGGCCGATATGGAACAAAATCTTTCCAGATCGACATGTGCTTTTGGTTCCTGAGGTGCATATCTTAGACGTATTACAACCCCCAAGCCTTCAGCGTTACATTACACAATGCCAAGTCGCGTCGTAACTGTTCACCGCAGCGGCAGCGGAAGTCGCGTTATGATTTGATGGTTTTTTACTACATCACGGAAACTATCGCAATCATCTTTGTAGCTACGACAATTCGTGTGGTTATGTTATAGACTCATTCGGCATGTACTGCTGTTCAAAGAGTGCAGTGGTTGTAAGGGGGTCAAGAGCCGGATGATGGTGCGAAAATTTTAACCAATGGTAGTTTATCTTAGGCTTCCTATTTGGGGTTTTGTCGAGCAGACCCGTTTGTGACAATAGACATGAAATGATAAGCTTGGGTCTGGGTCTCATTTTGTAGTCGCATATCGATCCCATTCCGTCTTTCGTTTTCAGTTCTCGATCAGATGTTTGTCTCGGAGTCAACAACCAAAACTGGAGCTAGAAATTCCCGGGTGAATGGTTGTCAGAATCTAAAGGTACAGGACAGCTTTAGGCGTTATTGGTCGAGTGGCTGATAGCTGCAGGAGTCGTTTGTTCGAATCTCACCACAGTCGCCCAACGTTGCACGTGTTGATGCCCTCATTCATCCAAGTGATAGAAAAGAAGAATCTTTTTTCAATTAAGAAGCGAAAACCAGTTTTGACTACTCGCGAGTAAACGAAGCTTTGTGGTTCTTTTACTGACCATCATTGTCTTGAGAGTGAAGCGTTTTGCGTGGACCATCAGATAACAAAATCGTTAATCTGTGCTATTGGTATTTATTCATTTTGATCTACCCTATTGGAAAAATAAACAACACCCACATTTTCTATCAACTAATCGTTGTTTATTTTAGTTTCAACTTCCCAAATAGCAATCACGTTAGAAAATGTGGGAAGACAACAGTGCGTAATTAATTCAATCATTATACTTCTTTCCAGACTCTCCTGGCCTCGCAATGGCAGCGATATCCAATCAACCGTCCATTGTGAATGGGAAAGTATCCATACTCAACCGCTCATTGTCTAGCGGTAACAGTCCACAGTTTCATTTGACACCGCTCCATCCAACTTGTACGGTTATCCCTGGAAGTCAGTACTTCACGTCTCGTCGGCGACATACAGCCAGTGCGAGTGAAGCCTTATCATTTCAAAGTGGATTTTCATCAGGTGATGGAGCTCCGAACGCCACTGACAGTATGCGAACACATAGTACAAAAGCGTCGTTAGTCTCTTTGGCTGTCTCTGCAATTCCCCTTTGGGCTGAAGCCCCTTCGAAAGCGAAACCAAGAACTGGATGTAATTACATGTCCCGCGAAATGCTTGCTGCATTGTATTCACAAAGAAAACGACAGCAGCAACAACAAAAACCATATGGTCATCAACCTCCCCCTCCACCACCCCCAGCACAGCGACCACTTCCTTCCACGGGTCTCGGTCTGCCTAACTGTCCTGTCAGTTGTGCATCGAATTCAACTGCACGAGTGCATCCCCATCCTTGCACACCAGTACCTGAAGCGCCAAAAGAAAACGGTATGCTTCTCCTTGTTTTGCACTCACTTAGCAAGATACGCAAGCTCTTAGAAAAAACCGCATAATTCATCTTAGAATACTGCTATTTTCATCAATTCTCAATGAAACATCAATATCGCAAACAAAACTGGCCTCTTATGTATATTTTTTTTTCTGGATATATACACAACCTATATTACTATATTGTAAGGCTGTGGTGATGGGGCAGCTTCATACTAAAAACGAAATGACTTATTGTTCTCCGTTTGTTCACCCATGTTGGTGAATCACTGAGAGATCACCGAGGGCAGTTGTTTACAACTGTCTATAACTAACCGAGAAGAAGCGTACGAACTACACGTAAACCCAGCCCACCAACAAATAATTGATTCTTTTTCATTTGATGAAAATTATTGTACCATAGTTTGTGTGGCACAGTTTGGACTCAGACGTGTGCCAAAGTTAAAGAAAGATCTCGGTTTGGTCTCCAGACTAGTTTTGACTATAATTACACTAGGCCAGTCACAATTATGTTAGTGGAAGGCACTGAACGATTACTTTTGTGCACACCAGGGAGGAAGCTTGAGAATGCGATTTCCCACTGCTTCAGCGATGTCTAACCATGAGGAGGTTAATCGCCTTGGTCTAGTCCATAATTTGATCTGACTTTTGACAATGTTTAAAGCTTGCTCTTGAGAATGACTTGGTGACCCCATTTTGCATTCATGTTGAATGATACTCATGAATTCGCTGGGGCAAATGTCTGCTGGTATCATCCATGTTTATTATCCCACAGGAATAAATGGGAGTATAGAACCGTAATTAGTTCGTTGAAACTTTGTCTTGCGACCATGTGACAGACCCGGGCGGAGGAGGCTAACCGCATAATCTAGTTGATTATTTTTTCTGCGTTCCGTTTCGGTGTTACCTGTAGCCGATAGGCTTATGTAAACTGTCTACTTTTGCACTCCACCATCTTTTCCCCGCGGGTTTCTGGCGTTTCAATATGGAGACTTCATATCCCTCCGGTTATCCATTTGTTTGTAATATCCAGTATATACACTTCTTGCCCAGCTCATCCCACTCTACCGGTTTGGTCCGCTTAAAGTTACTGTTTCGCTGTAAGACCTCGCGATCTTTGTTTTTTTTTTCGGTGATGTTCGCTCTATTGTGTATGTCAGATATTTTGCTTCGTTGCACTGACCGTCATTAATACTGATCTATCCACTCTCATCCTCTTTCCGTGTATAGAGGACACTGGTCCGAAATCAGGGGAACACTGTGAATTTCTATGCAACCGAGATTATCAGTTTTCTCCGTCGATTCCGGAAACATATTTCACATCCGGTTGTGTGCTGGAAACATACACATTAGCTCATTCCACAGATACCTATCAGTCGACTATTTTATCAAACCCGACCGAGCATTATGGGAATACCGCAGGGACGAGCTGCTCACAGCACGCTGACCACATGGCACGTTCGTCGCAGAATGTGGGAAGGTAATTGGAGGATGTTCACTGCCTACGGTTTAAATGTTGCGTTCTTGCTCGTCCTATTCTAATAATCATCAAGCTTTGTATATATCCAGGGGTCTTTTCTG